GGGAACACAGAGACAAAAGAGTAACACCTCTGAATTATTCATAGCCATTAACATACTGGGCAGGGCAAGTAGGTGCCTATACAAATATGCTACCATCCTCTCAAAATATACTTAGCTACCTCAATACTTACCTCGCAACCCAAAACCAAACTGTCATTTCAGCTTTTCAGCTGAGTTTTGCCATCATCTATCTGCCAGGCCACACCACAATTCATTGCCCACCCTGCTGCCCTCTCAAAGATGGGCACTGGGCTGACCACACTGACTACAGGCCATCTTTACCCACCTCGAAGTGTTTGTTTAATATCACTCTGCTTTGATAATTTAATTTTTGGGTGTTTATTTCAGAAAATAGGGCTCTACTGGCTGGATGCCAGCTGTCACTCCATATGTGTGTGTATGGGAGACAAAGGTAGTGACCAGAATGCACAGTAGCAAGACCTTAGGTCTTAAAGTCACCATCATATATAAAAGGTTTACAAGTTAACTTAGTTCCTTTGAGTTGACCAATGCATCCTCTCTACTTACCAGGAGCTCTTCCTCCTGCAGCTTCCGAGCAATCTCTGCATCAGACAACTCCTGTTCCCTTCGGGGTGTATCATACATGGCTTGCTTCGTCCCCCTCAACTTAGTGCCTACAGAATTGTGAGAGAAAACAATCAACTCAACCGTTTTCCAAATGCTTTGGTAAGGAAATCCCCACCATGTCCTCAGCCACCTGCAAAAGACCCACTCAAGGGAACCAGCGTACCTGCCAGACAGCTGGTTTGAGAGTACCTTTAGCTGAGGTGCAGCACACACCTTAGGGAGGTTTCTCTATGTATATAGAAATATCTGATACACCATGTCTTATATGACAAATGCAACTATATGGCAGAAGAGGCCACGTCCCTTGAAGCAGTCTTTGCTGACAAAGCGATGCTAGCAAAGGAATCATAATTTTTTCACACTCTGCGCTGATACAGATACACTGGCAAAACTGGGCAGCAGAGAGCAGCCCAACATCTGTTATGAGCACAGCAGAGTCTGTGACCACACCGCTGGAGCAGCATGGGCTGCAGAAATTGCCTGGGACAGGCTCACATGAGGTTTCAGACAATTTCTTCTGTGGGCTGACCCATGAATTTTACAATTCATAGTGAGAAAACAGCCAAGTAAACATTTTTGAAGTTCATACAAGGTTCAGTTCTTGCTTTGAGTACAGTTTTATTTGTTTGTTTATTTAAAGTTAAACCATCTCCAAGTGATTTAAAAATGTTGCATTTGGAGAGTCTCTCCATAGTCTATTTGCACCAGGCCATTAAAGGAGTCTCACTGTATCCCTGTTATAAAATGAATGACTTCACTCACATACAATGAATGCCCTTCTCCTTCCATCTGCAGTCTGAACTGTATTGTTCAGACATCTCAGCCATCTAAATAAGCTTTCTGCTTTATGTCCGAAGTACACAAACACTCCAGATGTCTGTCTCTCTTCCACCTCAAACCCAGAAAGTTTCACTTAAAACTTTCATGCCTCCAGCTACACCATTTACACGTTTATTATGAATACCTGTTACATCTTACTGGGCCACCTATCAGTTTCCTTCCCGTCTCGTAAGACCAAGGGAAAAAACATGAAGTAACCAACTGACACTGAAAAATTTTCTGTGCATCTACCAAACTACCATCATACTCCACCAAGCATCCTGAAGACTTCAAACTGCAGAGAGCCAGAGACTTTATGCATCAACCCAGAATAAAACTGTGGAATAGGAAACCACCTCTTCTACTGGTATTAAAGGAGGCGTGTGGGGTTTTCTGCTTTTTGTTTTGTTTGAATCAACTGATCAATGATCTTAAGGAATTAACACCCCTCTTACAAACCATCTTAGCATTAGAAGAAAACTTCAGCTCTGGCATGTTATGGTTAAGCATATGACATGGCCTTTCCCAGCACACTTTGATCAATCCAAGCTGTGAAGAGCTGCAGTCTCTGGCCAGCACAGAAATTCTGGCAAAAAGCACCAGCTTGGTCAGAGTTAAGTTATTCACAGTGCTTCCAAGGTCAAGGTAAACACAGTTTTACCATGCTGGAATGAACAAGTGTGGCCAACAGGCTCCTGTACAGCATTACCTCTATGAAGAATAAAAGTAAATTTCCAGGAATTGTTTGCTGGCCAGTCCGAGGCTGAGCTTTATTCACACACTGACCGGTGCCAGGCTTCATTTGCTCAGAAGACAACAATAAACATTACTTCCACCCACACTCAGGGGAGCACGAAGCCCACCATGACCACAGCCCACAGGAAGAGGATGTGAGCTTCTGGCTATTTTCACTCAATGTGATGGGATCCTGAGTCACTTGGACCCACATTGTATCGGGGCAAATCACAACCTACTGATTATATATAAAGGCCTGATTAACACCTTCCACTTCCCCAAAGAAAACTTTTGCATGACGAAGACGAAGAATAATTCTCCCAGCATCTCCAGAGACAGACACGCATTATCATCCCCACCTTATCCAAGTGAAGACCAGTTAGATGGCTTAAAGCACAAGTTTCCCATGCTGTGACAGACATAGATCCAAGACTCTAAACTCCTACTTTCACTAAGAGACAGGTCACCCCCACCCCCAGTGGGGTTTTAAAAGCAGAAAGATGGATCTGGATCTTTAAAGCCCACTAGTCCCCAAGTATTATTGAACAAGAACTACACAGGTACACGTTTCCCAGAAAAATCCACTTGCACAGAATTTGACAAGAACCCCATCTTACAAACAGAGCCCAGTCAGACACCTAGTGCCACTACTGAACTTTGCCCAAAGTTAATTGATTATGTTGCCAGCAGGGTTTTCAATAAGAAGGGGATGGAAATGGCTGGCTTGTTAGTGCTTAAGGCAAACTGTCTCCACTTACAGCCCTGCATCCCAAATCAACAAAATACAAGTGTAATCATAACATTTGGTTTTTTCTAAGTTTTTTCTTCTTTTTTTTTTTTTCCCCCTGTGCAAGGAGACCACAGCACAAAACACATTATGAAAACAAAAGCTGGTTGTTGGTTGGTTTTTTGGGGAGGTTTTTGTGTTGTTTTTTTTTTTCTAAAATACAGGATACCAAGGGCACCATTTGCAACGATACCTTCTTACTCATCTTCTCTGATGCCATGGAACATGTCAAGAAATAAACAGAGCAAGAATATTAATGGGTAAGATGAATCTCATTAAATAAGGGAGAAACCTGGGCAGGATTCACCATGTACACATTGCAGGTGGACATTGGAGATAAGCAACTTCAAAGGAAACAACACAGATTTCAGACACCAGGATGGGGTGTGCAGAGGTCCATCCCCACACATACGCACACCTTCCCCATCACTTTGTTACCTGAGTCTCGCCGGCAGTCTCCAGCCTTCCCCTGGGTCACAGCATGCGGGGAGGGGGAGTGTTGCCTGCGTCCTGCCATTTTGCAGTCTTTCTCCCCACCCCTCCTATGATCATCTCTAGATTTGGCATCACAGAACTTCTCGTCATGCACCATCCTGTGTGACGAGTGGCCCTGATGACGAGATTTGTGTTTTTCAGGGCGCACCAGTGGGCTGCTGCCCCGATGCCAGGTGTCCTGCTCAGCCTCCAGTTCCATCTCAAGAAAAGGAAGGTGTTTTTCTCTATCTTGCTTTGTTGGCTTTCTGCTGCGCTGCGCCTGGTCTGCGAGTCCATGCTCCGACTCCAGGCTAAGACTGAGAGGTCTCCAAGCCTTCTCCCTGCCGGCTGCTCTCCTCTCCCGCAGCTCCGAGCTATTGCTGTGATGATAGACACCGTGCTCAGCCTCTCTTTCCAGGTCAAGGCTGGGATGTCTCCTGGACCTTCCCTGGCTGGCTGATTTCCACTCCTGCCGATGGCCACTGCTGGCCTCACTCAGTTGAGGAGACCTCCGATGATCCTCCGCGGTGGAATGCTCGTGTTCGGAGGCACCGTTGTACAAAGGCGAGGGCGCTTCTCGGTGCTCTCTCTTTCGGTGCGTGCGCCTGTCACCACTGCGTGCCCTGCGAGGCTCAGAAACCTGCTCTCTGGGGTCACCCCAGCGGTGCTCTGAGCAACAGGGGGACAAACAACGAGCGGGTTAGTGGTGCGGGGGTTAACGGTGGTTCAGCGAGGCCAGACTCACAGCATGCAGATGAGGGAGCTTGATGCAAGAAGCTGGAAATGCAGGCAAAGCATGACGGGATCAGAAAGAAGAGTAACGGGGATACAACGCTTGCAGGATATAACGGGGTGCAGATGAAGGAGCTTGATGCAAGGAGAAGCTGAAAATGCAGGCAAAGCATGACGGGATCAGAAAGAAGAGTAACGGGGATACAACGCTTGCAGGATATAACGGGGGACAGTGAAATGGCAGCCTGGCTAGCAGCAGGGCACCACGGGAGCCAAGGGGGTTGGAGCAGAAAGCACAGGTCCAGCCCGAAAGTGTGTCCAAGCACCTCCTAAGACAAGGACAAGCCAGTATGGAGATGAAGGACTTTTAATGATGCCATTGGGGCTGAAAAAACAGCCAGCAGAGCAGCTCATCTCCTGGTGATGACACGTCACTGCTGCAGGATACTGAAACCACCAGAGAAAGGCTTGCAAAGGAGGGCGCAAGATGCAGGTGAGGCTGGGAGGCAGCGAGGTGGGGAGGCAGCATAAGGCCAGGAGGGGCCAAGCAGAGGGTCAGGTTGGATCCTGGTTTTTGAGCACCGGTGCCTTGCCCTGGCTTCAGGCACAAGGTTTTTCATCAGAAAAAACAGCCTCACCTAACTGGGGGAAGACCCACACAAAGCAGAAGAGAGAGAGGCAAGTGGGATGGGATATTTTTTATTTTTTTTTAAAAAGCAAGAACGAGATGAAGGATAGCTGCAGCATCCAAATATCTTCCACCACAGACTGTCACATATCTCTTGCAGACCCAGAAGTTTCAGGGCCTGCACTTCTTCATTGCTTAAATAAAAATCTATGCTTTGACTGCAGAGAGGGCTACTGAAATTTAAGGGCAGGATAAGACCTCACAAAAAACCCAGCAAACCCAGGCTCCTGACCTCAGCAATGTAGCTGGAAAAGCCGCTTACTCAGCAGCTTGGCGGGGTTGTTTCCTCCGTGCTTTCCAGAAAGCAGGTGGAAATTTTCTTCGCTTTTAGTTTCAGTAATAAACCTGACACAGCTACGAGGATGCAGCAGTCTACCTGCATATAATCTCCTGATCAATTTTCCAATCAACTTATTTGCTAAGAAAAAATCATTGCACTTAGTGAACTATTATCTCCACAGCAGCTTTTCAGAATGAAGGCGTATTTCTGAAGAAAAAAAAATTTCCTTGAAGCAGAGGCTGATTTGAAACAGAACTATACAAAAAACCAAACCAAAAAACCAGCAGCGTAAGACTTTCCTTCTCCACTGCTGAGCTTTTTTTTATAGTATCTAAAACCTATTTAAAATAGATTTCACTGCACATGAACTGCATTCTGTTTTAATAAATAGCTCTGCCTTCCTCACAGTCATCCAGATTTCAGGAAAAAACCCACCAAAACTGAATGTTCCCTTCAAGTCATTCTATTCAGAAAAAACTTCTTCAGAGCCAGCAAAAATATACCCTACAGAAAACCCACCCTGAAAACAATTCTGTGTTACTTTTATCCAGAACAGGTGTATTTTTAAAAATCCAAGAACTGTAAGAGTAACCAAAGCAGTTCCTGCTAACTGGTAGGTTTTTCTGTTCAGTTTTAGATCGTTTGCACAACTTACAGAAAACAAATATCCAATAAAACAGTCTAAGTGACTTACTGAACAACGGAGACCAGAGCCTGAAAGCAAGTCAGTTTTTGAACAATACTAACAAGGGTCTAAGAATTAATTCAATTTTGTCATTAAGGAAAGCTCAATAAATACAGCAGCAGAGAGCAGGAGATCATGAAATAGCAAAGCATGGCCGCGCTGGGAAAGGATTGCTGCAGGTAATGCAGCCATGCCAGACAGCCTGAGCAGAGGGTTTGCTTTTGGGGTATCTCAGGGCGATTAACTCCTCAGCAGGCACCGGTTCCTGCGGCACCTTCCACAGGGGCCGTGTAAACACTCTTTAGGTCCTGGTGTTACTCTCTCAAGCAGCTAGTGACTGAGCGAATACAGAAATGTTTTTCATGGCACAGACAGTTCTGGGAGGAACTCTGCCTTTTTTCATGTTTATTTTTCCACTTTTTAAGAGCTTAGATTGCTCTGGAGTAATAGCCCTAATCCACACTCCTCCTGGATGTGGATAAATTTTCATTCAGTCTCAAGACAGACTAAAACCCAAACAAAGCCAGGGCTTTTTTTAAGTTCACAAGTAATGAAGGTGATACAAACCGAGGATGCTGAAGCCTAATCAGATAGTACCCAAGTATTTAAGAGGTTCCAGATCAATGGATTAGATGATCCAGGCATCAAAATCCACTCCAGTCCTTTCTAGTTTTTAAGGAGCAAGGATCAAGAGCAGCACTACTATGAATGGTCAGGCAAAACACCTTCTACCTCACCTCCGAGACTACAGATTATTGCAGGAAGAAAAATTAGACCCACAAGATACCCTGCTCTCCAAATCCACACAACAGTATCAGTTCAGAGTCACAGGCTTTTGTCAGCTGATTTCTGTTATAAAAATCCATCCTGTCCCACCATCTCTGCATGGCAACACTATTACCTATCTTGTATTTTTTCCAGGGACTTGTCCCATTTAATTCTGAAAAATTGAAGTGTGGGTTGTCCATAAGGCTCCAAGATCAAAGCCTTTCCCAGCTCTGTACACGTAGCTGGACTTGTGGTCATGAAGTTTCCACTTGGTTACTGCTTTGCACTTTGTGCTTTGTGTTTTCTTGGCTATCCTTGAACTTCTTCCCAATTGAAACTAAAATACTTTGTGTAAGTTCAAATAAAATACATTTAAAATCGCCAATAGCATTGATGTTAAAATGAGAAATAAGAGGTTTGATCTTCATCTTCACAATCTGTTAATCAAAAGCAGCCCGTCTCTCCCCCACCACATTTTTTTTGAAGAAAGAACACAAGAACCACCACCAGTGCACAGCAAAGCCATCCCCAGATTGCTCCATAATTAAACACACCCTGATTCTCTCCTCCCAATTTAAAGGTCTGTATTCAATCATAAAAGCCAACCAAGAGAAAGCAATACAGCGCTACGGGTCATATCTTTTCCACAACATACAGTCCCAGATGATAATCACAGCAGAGACATTCTGTGGAGATGACCTTGTTATTCAGTAAGTCATTCAAAGCAGTAGTGCTAATTTTAATGCTTGGATACATACCTGCAAGGAGTTATTTTTGAAAGGCTGTTCCATGAACCAGCATTTATTCCTTTACACACGTAGCTGTGCCAGCATCACAGATGAGCACACAGAACTGTTTCTCTTTGAATGCAACCATGGAATTGCATCCGAATTTCTCCCCCGCACGCTTGTGGTGTTACACAGAAGTAACTGTGGCTTATCAGTACTACCAGCTACTGCCTTTTTCCACAAGCCCTTTGAAAACATGCATGCATGGGTGTGCTTGTGCATACACACACCACACACCCTACCCTACCCCTGTCCTTTAGGCCATCTTATAGGACATCAAAAGTTAAAAGTGTCTTCTCCACTTTTTTTTTTTCATATTTCCTGATTCCAGAATAAAGTCTGATCCTGACCCTGGAAACTGATCCAATGCTACAGTGCTGAATGCAGGACTGTAGGATAAGGGAGATCTCCTAAACGGAGTTGCCAAGTCACCAGGTTCACCTATACTGCCATGATCTTGATCCTTTATCGAGCAGAAACGTACCTCCATTTTCTGCATAATAGCTATCTTCATAGACTGTGTGTCCCTGGGATTCTGGGTAGTGCTTCTTGCGCTTTTTTTCTTCCTGCAGTTCTTTCTGTTGTAGGAGGCGGGCAATGTCCTGCAGAGATGGAAGAAAATAGACATTACCTTTCTCCCCCCCCAAAATATCTCCAGTTTCTTTTATTCAAATTCTTTATTCAATTATAAAAATCCCCGATAGTTTAATTTTTCAGACACGTCAACGACAGGGTTACTCTCAAAACCCCTGGGCTGGATGGGGCTTCCAACTGAGTGGCTGACACAAGGGACCATCTCAGCAGCCAGTATCCAACCTCACCCAGGACCACCGCTGAGCTTCCAATCCCGTGGCAGACTCACAGGTTCCTGTTCCACCTGCACACAAGCCTGCAAAGCCCTAACGGCCAAAGCATAGCAGAAGGGACTGCGTGTGCAACCTCAGGCTTCTAGCAAGGATTTGGAAGTCACACAAGCGCACACCCGCTCACACGAGCGGGCTGGACCTCCCCCCTGAACTCCACCAGGGAAAGAAAAACAGAGGCAAGGCCTGTCTCCAGCTGAAGGCACTTCAGACTGGGAAGGAGTTCCCAGAGCAAGTCATGAACTCTCTTCAAACCAGCTGTAATTTACAGGGACTGTAGGATGCCAGGCAGGGAAATGCATCAATTTGACAGACAGAGGCTGAAGGAAAAGAAAATCGAAAGGGATGTTAGGAAGAGAGGACTAGGCACGAGACAGGAGTGCTGCGGGGACTGCAGCCGTTTATCTTCTGTCACAGTTTTGGTAGATAAGCCACCAAAGAAAGTAGCACTCCATTTTCCTAATTGGTTTTCTTTCGAGATGACTAATGGATCAACAAGGCCTAGCAACAGCAAACAGCTCCCTGGGGCTTGCTCATTTGGGGCCCAGAAGCTTGCGAGTCAATGGGGCTAGTCTGAAACTAGGAAGAGAAGCTGGAAGATACCAGCAGGGCACGCTACCCCTTTGGATGCTATTCATTTAAGCCTCCCTAATCCTCAGGACCTTTACAGAACCATGCATGTAAAGTGTACATTGCAGGCAGGAAAGGCATCACTGAAATGCAAACTAAGAGCCAACACCCTCCAGAGCAAAGCCAGCACTGGAGGACGTTGGATGGGTGTTCAAGTACAAACTATCATTTCAGGGTTCGGATCAGATCTGTTCAATAACCAGCTTTGTGGAGGACCTGGGGATGCCACAGGCTCCTTACCAAAACAAACAAACAAACAGAAGAATAAAAAAAAATTTTCCTTCCCCTGACAAGGTCAACCTCTTCTAGCAAGTACAGTAAGTCTATAAATATACGGGCTTAAGCACATTATCTCCAGGACTGAGACAGCTCAGGACTTGCAAATCCACACAAACCATTTCTTACAGACTGGACTTGTAAGCAGGTAGGCTTAGCACTTCATTTAAAAACCCTGCGCAACAAGAATAAAAAAAAAATTTCCTTCCCCTGACAAGGTCAACCTCTTCTAGCAAGTACAGTAAGTCTATAAATATACGGGCTTAAGCACATTATCTCCAGGACTGAGACAGCTCAGGACTTGCAAATCCACACAAACCATTTCTTACAGACTGGACTTGTAAGCAGGTAGGCTTAGCACTTCATTTAAAAACCCTGCGCAACAGACTGGATCTGCCTCAAGCACAGCACTGGCATAACACTGCTAGCCACTACTGATACCAGAGAGCTATCGCATACGCTGGGCAGCTACTACACCCTCAACAAGACTACAAGACTAGCCCGGCGTGTGGCCAGCAGCGGTGTAATACAGAATGTCCTGCAGGGTACGTGTATAGGTGCTGTGCCGAGGGCTACAGAAGGGGCTCTGATGTTTGTCACTCTGCCAGCCGACAAACCTCTGGGGCACTGCGCAGCCTCACTCACGTTGCTCAGGCTCTGCATCAGCACAGAAGCCCACCCAAAAGAAACAACGCTGGGGGGGGACCCTGGAAGGGAAGCAGGATCGATTCAAGCTCTCCAGAAGTCCTGTTGCAAGGATGGGCAGTAGTGCCACACCCCGGTACCGGCTGCAGCCTAACTCAGTCCACAGCTACGTTTCAGCCACACTTGGGAACTTCCCCCATACCAGCAGGAAGAAAGAATATTTATGGCTTCTCCTCATCACTTCGAGCCACGTTCATTTGAAAATTGCTCCCAACAGCACGAGATGGTCAGCACGCTGATTTGACAGGTTGCAGGGACCTGCTGTCAGACTGCTGACATCCCAGCAGCTCTCTACATAAAGCAGGAAGGAAAGATGCAATTCCCACAGCCAACGTGAGTAGTACTGCATCCCCTTCACCTTCCTGATAAAAGTGAGACAGATGGTCACATTTATAGCACAAATCCTTTAGCTGCAAGTGTTCCTCCCACCTCTGTTACCACAAGCTCCTCTTGGAAGCCCTTCCATGTCTGCCAGGGCAGCCTTTCAGTACTTGCTTGGACTTAATGGTATAGGAAGAAAATGAGGTCTTGCACAAGCAAACTGATGCATTTGCCAGGTAAGGACAGATTCTTATTTCAGGCTCTTCCAGGAAACACAGCCTTATGTTCAAGCTCCGCCTACAGAGAAAATACCACTAGGTGCCTCTTGAGCATCTTAAGACTACTCAGACTTCTCAGGAAACTATCTGTAATCAAAAATGGGGCCACATTCCAGGCTCACACAGGTGTTCCTCCACTCCATGGGTTTCTTGAACACCCAATCTGACAGGCTGACACATCCACAAGCCAAATCCTTTGAACGCCACGGACAAGCCACACTGCCCACTCTCAAGCAACAGCAGCAGAGCAACATTACGCATTAACAAAAGGAATCTGCTGGCAAGAAACTACATGAGGGTGTTCAGGCTGTGAAAGACTAAATTGAAGATGAAAGAAGGTAATGGAGAAGCCAGAGATAGATGGCTGGGCTGAGTGTCCTGCTGAAGTCTTTGTACCAAAGACCAAGCAATCATGACCCAGGATGCTCCCAAAGTGGCACCTGTGTCCTTGCATTTGAGAAAGCAAGCAGATCACAGACTGCATAAACAATTACACTTTCCCACACCAGGGCAATGAACACCTCAACAAGACCCATCTATTACTTACCCTCTTCATTAGCAAGGCCACTGGCATCAACAACCCTTGTGACCCTTGAGCATGAGGACTATGACTGTATCTTATTCCTGTAACAGGACCCCCTGAAATCTCTGCGCGTACCGAGACCTGTGATGACCAGGACTGACACCATGCAAGCCAACTCCTGTGGCTAATGACCAAGAAATGCCTGCACTGAAAGGGCTGCTACAAATAGCCCTGCCATCCCTGCAGCTTTAAAGGTTACCTCGTCTTTTTCCTCTTGCCTGCGGCGCTGCTCTGCTTCAAATACCAGCTTCACTTGGATTTCCTGAGCGATCTCGCAGTCCTGTCGTTCTCTAGAAAGCAAGGAGACAAGGATTATAGGCAGCTAAAGTCACAGGCATCAGTCAGCCTGGAGAAAGAGATAAAAGAGCTAAAGAACCCATCTGATTTACACACAAGAATTATTACTTGGTATTAATGCAGAGCCTATAAATCCTCACCAGGGACCAGGACTCCCTGTAATTACTGCTGGCCAAATTTAGAAAAGAGCTCCCAAAACATCCACAAAGTATAAAGCAAGAGAAAACAGATTCATAGGCAGTTTGCTAAGAAAGGAGGTAGGAACCATAAGATAGGGCAGGCCAAGGCAGTGCACAGGAGTCTCTGCAAACAGTCTAATTCTGCTGAGGAGTCTTTGTACATGTGGTGCCAAAGGAAGGCTTTAGGGGTACGGTTAATGCAGGCATTTCTGGGAAGTGGTGTTCACGTGAAAGCCAAGAAGGAGAAAGTGCAGAAATTCTGACAGCAAAAGACAGTATGTAGGCCAACCAGAGGCTGGAGGTGACGGTTCAGTAATGAATGAGAAATGCTGCTGAGGTGGGACGAGACACAAAAGCAGAACCGGTGCCAAGAGGCAAGAACGCAACATGCGTCAAAACGAGGGGTGAGGGAGCCATCATCACAGTGCCAGTGCGGATGCAGGAACAACATCAGATTGCATTAACTGGGGACAAAGAGATACCAGAGTAACTGAGACATGAGATGAGAGTTTCGTCTGTGTGGATAGACCAGGAAGGCCGTATTTCAGGGACGTCATACAGAAAGCATCTGCAAGAATTTCGCCATACTCAGCCACACACCCTGATGCCTCTGGCAAACAGGCTGGAACAATGGCCACGGGTTCCTCAGGGCAACCCAGCAAAGGGCTGGGGGATTTGAGAAGAAAGACTAAGAGCCCTTTTTGCCAGCACTGTTGAAACTGAGCCAAAGACTAGCTCTGAACAGGTCAGAAAAATCAAATCTAAGCTATCTCTGCAACTGAGACTACCGAAAGGCAAGTCATAGAAGGAGATGAGGATGGGAACAGCAAGAGGCAGGGCTTGCTTTATTAGAATACAATCTTTTGAAGAATACACTGGCAATTATCAGATGGGTGATGGGAGGACTACCAAGAGCATATTATGGAAGTCAAGCAAATATTTCAAGAGAAGCAGGTTCAGCCATGTCAAAGTTGTGCTGTGCGGGCTGGAGCAACTAGTTCTAGGCTTGAGCAAGGATCAGGGCATAAATGACCTAGCAAACTTGGAGGCAAAGGACTGGAAGAGAGTCTAGGACGTGAGCAGAGGAAATTAAAATAGTAAGTGCAGACAAGCACTTTTGGTAGCAAAACAGAGAAGTGGCATGGCTGGAGCAGTCAGTGGCACCACAGAGCCTTCTTTCATAGAAAGTGAAGAATGAAAGAAACAGAAAGAGTGGATATGTGGCTTAGGGTGGGAAGGAAGGAATGAAAGAAACAGAAAGACTGGATATGTGGCTTAGGGTGGGAAGGAAGGACACTGTGACAAGAAGAGAGTTTAGAGGACAGATGCCACCAAGAAACAACTGATCTGTCATAGGGAAGGAAAAGGAACATGCAGCGAGAGGGAAAAAGAAGCTTCTTTATTTCTGTCAACTGCTCCTTGGAAGGAGACCTGCAACTGGGTACAGCACGTTATTTATATGAACCCCAAGTACACATGAACCGAAGTCAGTGTCACAACATGACATTTTCCTTCCCCCTCCAAGACCACCACACTCAAACACTTCTGCATATTCATAAATTGACCCACATCTAGAGACATCCCAGAAGGCACCCATGAATTTTAGTGTTTGTAGGGCTGGAGTTATCAATAGATCAAACAACTTCAGACATCAGTTTCTTTCATCCAGGTAATAAATCCTGGCATTTCGTGTGTGTGCTTATGTGCGTTTCACTTGAGACCAGGGAGAGACCCATTCAAAGGCACATGAGCTCACACGGCAGCAAATCTTGTTCTTGAACCTGCCATATAAAAAGGGACCTTGGCAAACCTGGTACCAGCAGGGAACCACAGTCCCCAGCAAAACAATAGCTGAATATGCAAAACCTGGGGACCAGTCTGTCAATGGGCCTAAGATAGCGGATCCCTTACGACCCCGTCTCAGAGGACATGAATCCAGGTAGAAAATAAGTTAGAAAGGTCAGACATATCAAGGCATTGCACATCTCCAGTTCCCCCAGCACCTGTGAGCAGAGCTAAGGTGCCAAGTTCATCAGCACCAACTCACTTGCTAAATGCTTAAAATACATCTTACTGCAGACAAACAGGAGACAGAAACAGCTAGTAGTCTTTCAGAGCCAAGGCAACAAGGTCATTGCCTCTCCATTCACAGCAAAGAACACTAGGAGTAATGCAAAAGCAGAAGCATTTTCTTGTTCCTGATGACATGCATCTTGGAATACACCGTATCAATCTCTAAGAACCACTGAACAGCAACAGAGGATTAGATTTGGGGTTTTATTGCTCAGTGGTAATTAAATACTGAGACTTGATTAGTTAATCAACATAAGCCAGTGTTTCAACTTGACTGAGCGTAAGAAAATAGGCTAAAGAACTTTGACAGCTCTTCTTGCCCTTCAATTTCTTTAGTGTGAGTTCAAGTGCTCATCAGTCCTAGAAATCAGCCAGAGCAACATAAACATGACCATCCCTGAACATCACACCTAGGGGTCCTTCATTCCTGGACAGCCAGGAGTGTTAAGTGTCAGGGAAACTCTACATCAGTTTAGGAAAAAGAAAAAGTGTGATCAGAAAGCTCCCATTCACATTGGCTGTAGCAACTAATTGTTGCCAGATGAGGAGAAAAAAAAAAGGATTTAAGGGAACCATTCAAAGGAACTGTTCACATTAGTGTAACAGAACCATCACAGCACTGGGAGCAAAACAAGGAAAAAAAGCATATTTTCACGGTATTTGACAGTTATTTTAGCAACCTTGCTACTATGCTTGGCAGTGTGCAGGCTGCTCAGCTAGATGTGAGAGATGCTTTCAAAGAAGCATGAAAATAAGGTTTGATGCTTCCCTGAATTCTTAAGAAGATAAGTTATTTCTATTCTCTCATTTATCTTCATAAAGTCCTTCTGAGACAATCTAGGATTTGAAAGACAGAAGAAAGCCCATAAATTTGAAGAGCTTTATGTTCCCTGTTTCTAAAGACCACCCAGTTCTGCCCCTTTACTCCTCCCATAACCTTGGAGTGTCAAGCTGTCCTAGACAATACAGAAAGCAACAGCAGCAAGGATCATTTTGTTGCCAGAACACGCTGATCTTGCACGAGGAAGAGACAGTGGGAATGTACAGAGAATTAAGGAAGAAAAAGATCCAATTACAAAAGGATGCCTCCAACTTTTTTTACTATTTTGCAGAAGAGCTCATGCTTTCAGGAGCAGAACTGCTGCTGACACAACATTTTGCATCAGCAGTTCTGCCTGTAACTTGGCTCACAAAGTTCATAAATCCCATTTTACAGAGTCCTACAACAAGAAAATTGTTTGCAGTTCCCAGCAAGTAACAGAAAGGAATCATCTCTGCCATACAAAATTAATTTTTATGTTGTCATTTACACGCTCACATCTCTAATTGGTAACAAAGACAAAGCTATTGAAAGAAAGCACAGACTTGAGATACACACATGTATCCACCCAATGCTGCCCGAGTATGCTGGGAACATTGAGAACAGTGGCTGATTTGTCACGCCCCAGCTTCAAATCTTTTATGAGCAGCTCCTTTGAAGTCAGTCCTATACCTCACACATCTGCAATACAGTGCTCTTCTACTCCATCGCTGCCTCTGCCAGATGAGCCACCCAGGGTTTGTGATCCACCACCAACTGTACCTGGTGGGTGGCATCACAGAGCACGACACAAGCCAGGAGGCAGCACAGCCGCTGGGAGATGCGCCCTACCTTGCAGACCCTGCATTTGCAGGGAGCCCCATTAGAAAGCAAGCTCCTGTCTCTCATCATTGGGGTCTGACTGAGCCCTCTCACACGACCCATTCATTACATCTCACGCATTGCAAGAGACTGGGGGGGCGGGGGGACAAAAAAAAAAGGAAAAGCACCAGTGTCAACTCTGGATTGGAAAGTACAGTTTGTTTTGCCCTGCGCTGCCATGTTTCATTTCTACACCAGCTCCACAGCCTAAGAGCCATGGCACACAGAAAGCCAAATCACAGACCACAGGGTTAGATCTGGGGTGTGGGGCCTGAGCAAACCGGATCGCTCATTAAACATTCTCCCACAGCTGCTGCAGAAGTCAGTGACTGCAAGAGAAGGCCTGTCCCCCAACACCCATCTCCACCAAGTGACCCTGGGGCAGCAGCTCCTCTTCCCGGGTCACTTCACGCTGGAGTACCTGCAAGTGCAAGCAGGGGCTTTCAGCTGTTCAGTGCAGCAGGACACCAAAAAGCATTGCACCCAGCTCCTCAAAAGCACTCATCAGGCACAATGCACACATGCCAATATCTGCAGTTTCCACAAGAGAGAGAATTCACTGTAACACTCTGTATTTCTGTGGTGCTGTTTCTTCTTTCTCAGACTTTAGCCAGGGACAAGATCAATGCAAATGGCCAAGTTATCCCACTTTGCCAACAGGCAGCAGAACAAGAAGGCTCCTTCCCGTAGTCTGGCAACGGAGTCCAAGCCAGGACAGGCTCCAGGGCCACCTACTCCCACCCTGTCCTCATTACTCTGTGCCAGAGCCTAGTATCAATACTTTTACGGCATCAGATAGCCAAAGGAAAAAGAAAACAAAAGCAAAAGGCTGATCAACCTGAACCCCCATGTACTGTCAATCAACTCAAATCAAAGCAGCTGATTTCAGTGCTCTGACTAAATGAGACTAGCATTTCAACAGTTCCATCCCAAACTCACAAGTCTTTTCGGTGTTTCTGGATTTGAGCACGTGCTTTCAGATCCTCCTCTTCTTGCAGTTGCTTGGCCACCTGCAAGTCATGTTTCACCAGACGATTACGCTGAACATTTGTTGCCAAGTGATGCTCAACTGGAAAGAGACAAGAACCCCCAAGTCAGCCTGCAGAACTTCATGGTGTGAACAAGACAAAGTAAGTGGGAGGGAGATTCCAGGCCAGAAAGGAAGACAGTTCTTGGCAGGAAAACATCCCGTAACATCTCTAAAGGTGGGGAAGTCCTGAACTGAAATTACGCTAGCAGCTTGAGATTGCCTCATTTCAGCACTGAGGGGGCTGTATACATGCGTCTGTTACCAAAACAAGATCTACATATCTTAATCGCATCCAGATTTATACAGAATATTTTTTAGGCTTTGAATTTCATATTCTGGCCACAGGAAATTACTCTAGATTAATAAAGTGGGGCTGGAAGGGACCGCCACAGGCCAGTGAGGATGAGTTGAACCTAAACCACTTCTGATGGATGCTTCCCTAATTTGTTCTCAAGAACCTCTAGAGGAGGAAAGTCCTCTCGCTCTCAACATAATCGGTTCCAGAATCTCACTACCTTTATATTTAGCAACAGAGCAACCAAGTACTACAGCGAGTCCTTTACCATACATGGATACTGCCTGCAAGAAAAGATAGCTACATGAGCTGCAGCTGAGAGCCAGCTTCAATTCAGTGGTCTCAGGTTCCAGCAGCAAGGGCACAACTTCAGCACAAGCTGCACGCTTGGTGGAGTAGCTGGAACAGCATTAGCACCTAGTACTGGTAGATACCAATTGTCTTGGCAGCCGGCAAAGCAGAACAGATAGGCCACCACACCTGAAACTGCAATGCAAACATACCCCAAGTAACAGATAAGAATGTTAAAAAAAAAAAATTACCAGTCACTTTGAAGTTCCTGGCTGTACTTTTTTTCCTCCTTCTTAAACCCTACAGTGTACAGCTGCCCTACCTCAAATGTCTTAAAAGGAAGCCTCCTTTCAAAAGGCAGGCACTAGCGATTCGGAAATAAGTAAATAAACAGAACTCTTCTGGTTGCACCTCAGGTCAGCCTATAAAACTTGAAGCTTCCAAAATTGCTAGTCATTTCTAAAAACCTTGCACAGCAACAAAACCTCAAGTGTGCTCCCACATGCAATTTTATCATAAATGGCATAAACAAACTCAACTCTAAAAGGAGAGCACAAAATTGAAACATGAAATGCAACTATCTCTAGGGTACAACGTGAGCTGGGGCAGAACGCAGAGTAGTGTTACAGGACAGTGAAGACAGTAATAATAATCCATACTCCAATAAAAAGAATAAAAATGAAATAAAAGCAGGGAGGATTTTTCTTAGCAAAACCAAACAAAGCCAGGTATCTGTTGGGACAAATTTGCTTCAGTTTGTTCCAAAGATCATTGCTACTTACTTTCTTGCTCCTGTAAGTTATGGGCCAAGGTATGATCTTCCAGAACAGCGAAGTCTCGACACACTAAACAGGGAAACAAAGCCGAGAGAATTAGCATCAGGAGGAGGAAAAAAAAAAAAAGCCTCAAAAGAGCCATGGGGGTCAAGAGAGCATGCGTGCAGAGGGACTTCTGACACATTTGCTTTCTACCAGCCGAGGTCTGGACTTGTAGGTTTTTCCCCCTCTGCACTTGTGGCTATTTCTGCACGTACTTACTTTTTTGTCGATGTTTGCATAACAAGCCTTCTCCACTCTTCCCTCCACCTCCACTTTAGTTTAAGGCCAGAATTGCCCGCACCACCACTGGATCAGACCTTGTATACAAAACCCTGTATTCCAACCAGATTTATACCAAAGCCCACGCTTAGTATGTTCAACTAAAACCAAGGTCAAGCATTTGTGCTTACTATGACTTTCTTTGCCAGGTTAAAAAGTCTGAGAATAGTATTTTCTCCATACAAAGACACACGCACACTGTCACCTCTGCAGAGCTGAGCACACTGAGCTCCACAGCTCTCACTGCAAGGCATTTCGACCAGCTCAGGAATCATTTTACAGTTGTCTCCTGTAAGCTGCATTGACTTTTTCAGGCGCAGATGCTGGATTTGTACCTAGAACCCAGATATGGGATCAACCACAGCGTTACCGGCAGGGATAAGCACAGCTTCTTAAAAAGATGCTGCAAACGACCCAGAGACAAGCTAAACGGGAAGGGGACGAGCTCCCTTAGGCACCAGTCTGAAAGGAGCAGATTTTTGCCAATGCCTATCACTTTCGCACTTGAACTTTCAAAGGAATGCTCTACCCACACTGTAGAAAAACACCAGGGTTTATTTTTAACTTATGATAGGCAGCGGGGCAACAAAACACAAGCCACATACATACTGGGACAGGGACACACACACAGAGTATCTGGTTCAGCCTTTTGGTGGTAGGTACACATCAGCTTCTCGGTGAACCAAGGACAAACTGTGACCTGTGCCCCCAAACTGCAGGATGGGGCCCCGCTCCGCACATCTGCCATACACGGGGTTCCCGTCTGCTTCAAGGGGAGTCTAAGGCATGGGCACTGAAAAATTTACACTAGAGAGGTCTGTCACTTGTTTTGCCTTCAATGTGACAAGCTAAGCAGCTTAACAGGACCCGAAAGGGGAATATCTCCCATTTGAAACGTACGGCACAAAGCAGAGAACTACAAGGTGCTTCTGAAGCTGCAGAGGGAGGTACAAACCACTGCCGCTGCGCTCCACAGGCAGCCGTCTTCCTCTGGGGAAGACCAAGGTTTCTCTTTAGCAGAGCACAGCGACAGCCTAGAAGATAAACTGAAAATAACCCCAAAACCCCCAGAACGTACCAAAACTACAAGGGGAATTTATGAGGAACCCGTTTATGAAATGGTTCAGAGTCAGAGAAGATAAAACACTTCCATCACCACAAAGGGTGAAAAATACTACAAGGAAACGAGAAGGCAGACGCGTCTTCCCGAGCCACAGTACCACAAGCCTTCCCTCTTCTCGCGTTGACGTATATGCCTCGCTAGAGAAGCATCAAGATGTTCCTCTGCACCCAGGTATCTTCGCAAAATATCTAGAAGAGTTTCTAGCTGTGTGTACTAAGAGGTCAGATAAACACTTTATGCTTTATCGCATTCAGCAGAATTTTTGGTTGAGTCTTTCTGCATTGGAGGGTGTTTTACAGATGACAAGAGCTCCTAACAGCTAGAGCAGCACTTCAGGAAAGGAGAGTGACAAGCTGCAGGGTGGAGATGAGGGCAAAAATTACGGTTATACGATTCCATAGTGACTCACTTTAAGCATGTACAATTCTGGATGGTGCAATTAAGGTTTTTTTTGTTGCCCTTTTTTTGTTGCAACTTCTTTTAAAAAAAGAAGAGAGGATACAAAACACTAAATAGCACTGAAACACTTCCAGCAGGCATTTGTGTATAAATAAAGAAACACTGCCTTCAGCCACAGATCTGGAAAAGCCACAGCTGAGTCGCAGGCAGTAGTGCTATTCACAGGTGACATACCCAGTGTGCTTGGTGGTCATTAACACCAGTTTTTATGGGATAGGGCAAGGGGATCTTGCCCACAGAGACTTTATTTCTGTGGTCCCTAACACTACTTCAGCTTCATAGCACGATTGTGGAACAACCACCTTCTGCTTACAACAAGCATCATCTGGCCTGCTGGAAAGGCACATCCAACCTGGAGGTTTGAGCCCTACTATCAGTTCAGAGCTAAGCAAAGACACCTCAATACAGAGCCACAGTCTGCCCAGATCTAGGGCTATGCTTTTACTACCACATATTCAAGAAGCAGCACTTGCTCCTGACAGTATAAAAAAAAAAAAAAGGGGGTGGGATGGGGGGGAAGTGTTATTTTTAACTGCAATAGGTCTCTGAGCAAGTCCACTGCACAGCTGCCTGAACAGCTGTACTAGCAAGACAAGGCAGGCAGCACAGGAGCGAGGATGAACATTTCAGAGCTGTATATTTTTTTGCATAAAGATTGCTGCTGTAAGAAGTGCTTATGAAACTGCATCCCAGCCTTCCCAACTCCTTTCTGCACTGGCTCATACACTGCTCTGACCCCCATGGTATTCAAGCTCTGCCTTGTCGGTCAGGGTGCTGCTGGTGCTGGCAGACCTTTGCTCCATCTTCCCCAGAGAGGCACACGTGCAGAGGAGGACTTTAGTTTTCTTTACTCCATCCTAGCCACACCCAGACACACTTCTCTATTTGTTTGGGACGAAACATGTTGACAGAAACGTGCTTGGCATACAGGCGAGAAAGTGGGAGGGCCGTGGTAGAACACCGCTGCTCTTCTCTTGACAGTCTTGCACCAGCCCCAAAAAAGTCTCATCTCCTCCAGTGACCTTCATTCCTACAACATCGCAATAATTGTTTAACTCTTTTGATTGATGGGCCATGAAAGTCTTCCTAAAGAAAGCACGGACTCCTTAAATAAAAAGGCCAAGTGCATATACTGTTGTGTTGTATAGGTGGGCCTGCTTCTTCTAGCTGCTCCTCCAGAGGTCTGTTGGAAGTAGTTCATGGCACTCCAAAGTTAAACAAACAGGGACAAAGCAAGTGGGGACAACACCCTGGGACGAGCCACCAAGTTGCAGGGCCTAGACGTGAATACAGGGGCTGGGTCTTAAAACAGTGATGATTATCGCATCAAGGTCCAGTACAGAGAGAGGGAAACTGGATGGCTATTCATGATGTACACACTGGAAGCTCTCAAGTGTCTGGGCTCCACAGTGCCCCCATCTCACAGAGGACACCTCGCAGAGGAGGCTGGCAGGGCAGCAGCAAGCCTTGGGTTTGCTCACATGTTTGGATTCATTTGCGCGCTGCTGAAGAAGCCACTTGGCTGGGTATACACTCCATTACGCTGCTCTTACAAACCCACGAACGGACAGCTCGAGCACACAGCCCTCGCTTTGTGCTGCTGAAGCTGCTGGCAGGGCAGACAGCACAAGACCACCTTTCGTCACTGTCAAAACTCGGCTGGGCTGGCTGCCTCTAACTCATCTGAGCACATTATTCCCAAGCCCCATCAGTCCGAGAACAATGTGCAAAGGAAGATGAGAACATCCCACTACAAACACAATGAAGTGCTGTCAGCCAGCCAGGTGGCAAGAGATGGGGACACCTGCAACTCCCTAGCAAGTCTGGGGGCAATGGCAAGTGCAGAGCACTCCCTCAAGACTAGACCCAGCGCCCATGGCACTGAGTCAAGCATGACCGCAGCTGCAAGTGAGGCCAAGGAAACCAACCCTCCATCCCTGAAGACATGCATCCAACAATGAGGCAACTACAAAATAACTGGAGATGTGGACCAGCCAGGCATGGTCTGAAATGAAGGTTCATCGGCGCTAGTCCTAATCCCCTGCCCAGTCTCAGCGTGGCCCCAACGCACTCATTACTAGGTATTACATCCACTGACTTTGTGCTGAGAAATAGGATGGCCCCAATGACAACAGAGCGACTCACAATTCCTCCTCTCCAAGAGGCTTCCTATTTAAGGGGAAAGGAATCTGTTTCCTTATTCCCTAACTGTATGCCTAAAAAATGAAAGGCGAGATTAATGTTACGTTCACTGCTGCGAATTAACTTGACTTCCCATCTCCCGGCCCTGGCTGTGAGCCATCAGACAGTCAAACAAGCAGCAGGGGTGCAATTGCAGCAGCTACAATTGGCAAGTCCAGTGAAGCATGAAACATTAACAACAGGTTTACCATAGTCTGATTAAGCCAATCTGCCTTGGCACAGCAGGGAGCAGGCCTGGGATATGCACTTCTGGCACAGCTGTCAATGGAAGAAATGCCAGCCCAGGAATCCCGGCCCCTGCCACAGCCAGCGGAGGTGCCAGCAGGGGAGGACGAGGGCAGAAGCATGGCTGGAAGCATCATCCTTTGCAGCAGCGGTGCAAAATCCATGCAGTGGCATGAAAGAGGGAGCTTGCTTGCTTGAGGGATCCTGAAGAGCCTCTCTGCAAGCTCCAAGCACAGGTCTTCTCCACTGGTAGGAGTTCACCCCGAAAATATGCCTTTCTAAGCACCAGTGCATCTGAGGGGCTCTTGCAAGCATGGTTGCAAGCCCTGCCTTTATGGCAGAGATAAGAATGTCTCTAGGTATAACAACTTGGCAAAATTTCACGAAATAACCTTTTTGTTTTTCTATTCTGCCACCTGCCTCACTAGTTTTCTCCAGCATTACCTCAGCTCCATAGATCAGCATTTCTAACAAACTGCGTCAAAGAGTGAGGTAACCACAACAGAGGAGCAAAGGCAGCCTTAGATGTTGCTAGCGATACTTCAGTGTGTGACAAAGTAGGTAACATCCAGGAACGGGCGGCGTGAATGTGCACTGTCTCTACAAGAGGTCAAGCCCCACTGGCTTCTCAAGGCTTACAGCAAAACACCCCCCCCACCCCCCCACTTCTGCCTGAAGTCTTAGACGGTGTTTTGACATCCACTGAAGGGCCCAAGGGCCCCCTTGGTTCATGTGGCCCATATGCTGTGCTCTGGGACATCGGCCAGTTCAGTGACCCAGGGACCACACATGCATGCTCCAAGCATTTCCTTTTGGGTCTTAAAAAAAAAAAAAAAACAAAACCAAAAACAACCTTTCTTGCTCCCCACCCCCTCCACTCACATTTTCCCATGAGCATCACGCGCTGGATAATTCACAAAATAAACTAGAAGGTGTGAGTCATGCTTAGTTTGGAGCATCTGCAGTTTTTGAATCCTGAACTGAAGGACAGGAGGGAGAGGAAAGACAGAAGTAACACACGAAAAACAGTTTCATCAGCTAAAAATCACTTTTTAGGGCCTACAGAGC